ACCGTGTCCCTCGTGGTGTCCTGTGGGGGGTGCTCTGGGAGTATGGGGTCCGGGGCCCTTTGCTAAGGGCTGTCCGGTCCCTGTATGACCGGAGCAGGAGCTGTGTTCATTGCCGGCAGTAAGTCAGACCTGTTCCCGGTGCATGTTGGACTCCGCCAGGGCTGCACCTGTCACCGGTTCTGTTCATTGTATTTATGGACAGAATTTCTAGGCGCAGTCAGGGGCCGGAGGGTCCGGTTTGGGGACCACAGGATCATCTCTGCTGTTTGCGGATGATGTTGTTCTGTTGGCTTCATCGAACCAGGACCTGCAATGTGCACTGGGGCGGTTTGACCCGAGTGTGAAGCGTCTGGGATGAAGATCAGCTCTTCTAAGTCTGAGGTCGTGGTTCTTGACCGGAAAAAGGTGGCTTGCCCTCTCCGGGTGGGTGGGGAGTCTTTGCCTCAAGTGGAGGAGTTCAAGTATCTCGAGGGTCTTGTTCACGAGTGAGGGAAGGACGGAACGTGAGATTGACAGGTGGACAGGTGCAGCGTGGGCAGATTGACAGGTGGACAGGTGCAGCGTCTGCAGTGATGCGGTCGCTGTATCGGTCGTTGTGGTGAAGAGGAGCTGAGTCGAAAGGTGAAGCTCTCGATTTACCGGTCAGTCTTCGTTCCTCCTCTCACCTCTGGTCATGAGCTCTGGGTAGTGACCGAAAGGACGAGATCGCGGATACAAGCGCTCGAAATGAGTTTCCTCCGCAGGGCGTCTGGGCGTCTCCCTTAGAGACAGAGTGAGGAGCTCAGTCACACGGGAGGAGCTCGGAGTAGAGCCGCTGCTCCTCCACGTGGAGAGGAGCCAGTTGAGGCTCGGGCATCTGTTCTGATGCCTCCTGGACGTGTCCCTCGGGAGGTGTTCATGTCCCACCGGGAGGAGGCCCCGGGGAAGACCCAGGACACACTGGAGGGACTATGTCTCTGGACTGGCCTGGGAACACCTCGGGGTCCCCCGGAGGAGCTGGAGGACGTGTCTGGGGTGAAGGAAGTCTGGGAGTCCCTGCTTAGGCTGCTGCCCCCGCGACCCGACCCCGGATAAGCGGACGAAAATGGATGGATGGATATGTGTTTGTTTATTAAGTGTTTATTATGTATTTATTATGCATTTATTATGTGTTTATTAAGTGTTAATTACGTGTTTATTATGTATTTCTTGTTTTCCGGACTCTGTCGGCAGGATCTTTTTTTTTATTTATTTTTTTTAAATTTTATTTCAAATATACAGTGTGTTCTGCTAAACACCAAAAAAACTGTCTGCATGTATTTCTCAAAACGTCACACCGATTTGAAGCAATCAAACGTTTTTCTTAGTGGAGTTGAACTTGATCTGGTCTCAGAATTTAAATACCTCGGAGTAATTCTAGATTCAACACTATCCTTCAAAAGTCATGTTAAAAAAGTATCCCAGGTTTTCCAGTTTAACATTCAGAACTTCCGTCATATCAGGAATAACTTAAACATGAATGCTGCAAAAAACTTATTTCTATTCAATGATTATGTCTCACATCGATTACTGCTTAACTACTTGGTCTCTTGCCCCACAACACTTAAAACCATTGAAAACCTCTATAAAAGAGTCTAAAAATACTTGACAAAAAACCCATTTCCCACCACCGCTGTCACATACTGAAAAAGCACAGGCTTCTGGATTTTAGCAACATGGTCAAACTCAAAAGGACTTGTCTCATTTATAAGGTTCTACACTCCCTGGCACCAGCACCATTAAATAATTACATTAAACATAAAGACATTTCAATAAGAACCACACGAGCCACCACCAGGGGAGACTTGGTCACACCCCAGAGACGGACGACCTTTGGTCAGAATGTTTTATCTGTACAAGGTGGAAATCTGAGGAACAGTCTCCACTGACCCTGAAAGAACGTCCCACATACACCTGTTTTAAAGCTCAAACAAACACTTGGTTATGGTCAAATCAAACATGTCACATGTGTAACTGCACTGGGATTTGAATTGTTTTTCTATGTGCAATAATGGGAACTGTGCAATAATGGGAACTGTGCAATAATGGAACTGTAATAATGGAACTATGTAATGAGTGGAGTGTGCAATATTTTAGTGTCTGGCCCCTGTGACCTTTGCCCTTGGGACAACAGATGGAAATGAGCCTTAGGCTATAATCCGGTGTGTTTACATTCATGTTGTCATGTTTGTTCATTAACATGTTCTGTCCCAATCAAATCAATCAATCAATAAATAAATCAATAATAAACAATGGTATAAACAGAACCACTGCTGGAGGTTTAAGAGTTCATTTGCTCACAGGCTCAATCAGCGCAACATTTTCATTAAAAACACATTTATACGTGTAAATATAAAGATAAACATGTACAAATGTAGGAAAGCAAATAAACACATTCATATTTCATATTTCAAATTCTGTACAAAGTGATTTTGTCTTCAAGGTTTTGGATTTGTACAATAATTTATAGAATTGATATAAGAGAAGAAGAGGGACTGAAACATCACAGATTTGTGTTTCTGACTCGAAACTTTACAGCGATGAAGTTTAAAGTTTGAGAAAATCAGGATGAAGTTCCACACGAGTTTTTTGAGGTTTTAGGTTCAACTGGATCTTTTTTTTTTTTTTTTTTTTAATTCATTAATTATTTTTTTTCTTTTTATTTATTTATTTATTTTTTTTTCCTTAAATTTTTATTTATTTTTTTTACACAGGGAGGGACCTGACACACACAGAGAGGGACCTGACACACACAGAGAGGACCTGACACAGAGAGGGACCTGACACACAGAGAGGGACCTGACACACACAGAGGGACCTGACACACACAGAGAGGGACCTGACACACACAGAGAGGGACCTGACACACAGAGAGGGACCTGACACACAGAGAGGGACCTGACACACACAGAGAGGGACCTGTCACACACAGAGAGGGACCTGACACACAGAGAGGGACCTGACACACAGAGAGGGACCTGACACACACACAGAGGGACCTGACACACACAGAGAGGACCTGACACACAGAGGAGACCTGACACACAGAGAGGACCTGACACACACAGAGAGGGACCTGACACACAGAGAGGGACCTCACACACAGAGAGGACCTGACACACACAGAGAGGGACCTGACACACAGAGAGGGACCTGTCACACACAGAGAGGGACCTGACACACAGAGAGGGACCTGACACACACAGAGAGGGACCTGTCACACACAGAGAGGGACCTGACACACAGAGAGGGACCTGTCACACACAGAGAGGGACCTGACACACAGAGAGGGACCTGACACACACGTGGAGGACCTGACACACACACAGAGGGACCTGACACACACAGAGAGGGACCTGACACACAGAGAGGGACCTGACACACAAGAGGACCTGACACACACAGAGAGGGACCTGACACACACACACAGAGAGGGACCTGACACACAGAGAGGGACCTGACACACAGAGACCTGACACAGAGGGACCTGACACACACAGAGAGGGACCTGACACACACAGAGAGGGACCTGACACACACAGAGGGACCTGACACACAGAGAGGGACCTGACACACACAGAGGGACCTGACACACAGAGAGGGACCTGACACACGTGGAGGACTTGACACACACACAGAGGGACCTGATACACACAGAGAGGGACCTGACACACAGAGAGGGACCTGACACACAGAGAGGGACCTGACACACAGAGAGGGACCTGACACACACAGAGAGGGACCTGACACACAGAGAGGGACCTGACACACAGAGACGGACCTGACACACAGAGAGGGACCTGACACACAGAGAGGGACCTGACACACAGAGGGACCTGACACACACAGAGAGGACCTGACACACAGAGAGACCTGACACACAGAGAGGGACCTGACACACAGAGAGACACAGAGAGGGACCTGACACACAGAGAGACACACACAGAGGGACCTGACACACACAGAGAGGACCTGACACACAGACCTGACACACAGAGAGACCTGACACACGAGAGGGGACCTGACACACACAGAGAGAGGACCTGACACACAGAGAGACCTGAGGACCTGACACACAGAGAGGACCTGACACACAGAGAGAGGACCTGACACACAGAGAGGGACCTGACACACAGAGACCTGACACACAGAGGACACACAGAGAGAGGACCTGACACACAGAGAGAGGCCTGACACTGACACAGAGAGACCTGACACACACAGAGAGGACCTGACACACACAAGAGAGGGACCTGACACACACAGAGAGGGACCTGACACACAGAGAGACCTGACACACAGAGAGAGGGACCTGACACACAGAGAGGGACCTGACACACAGAGAGGACCTGACACTGACACACAGAGAGGGACCTGACACACAGAGAGGGACCGACACACAGAGAGGGACCTGACACACAGAGACCTGACACACACAGAGAGGACCTGACACACAGAGAGGACCTGACACACACAGAGGACCTGACACACACAGAGAGGGACCTGACACACAGAGAGGGACCTGACACACAGAGAGAGGGACCTGACACACACGTGGAGGACCTGACACACACAGGTTTTAGGTTCCGCTGGATCCCGTCTTTGTTTACTGACCTTCGTGACGTACTTCCGGTAGTAGTACAGCTGGAAGAGCAGGAACGCGCAGCTGCCGAGCGCGAGCACGTACAGCAGCGCGCTCCGGTTCACGCGCACCATCCGCGCCTCGGTCACGCGCGCCTCATGCCGCAGCGGGAGCGCGCTTAACGGCGGGAAACCGGAGCCGCGGCGGGAAAACGGAGCGGAGCGCGAGGAGCACCGAGCACGGCCGCCATCTTAGGGACCGCCACTTCCGCCGCCGCGACTTCACAATAAAAGAGAGAGTGTCAAAATAAAACTAAACCAGAACTAAACCAGAACTAAACCAGGACTAAACCAGAACTAAACCAGGACTAAACCAGGTCTAAACCAGACTAAACCAGAAATAAACCAGACTAAACCAGGTCTAAACCAGGACTAAACCAGAACTAAACCAGGAACTAAACCAGGTCTAAACCAGGACTAAACCAGGACTAAACCAGAACTAAACCAGGACTAAACCAGGACTAAACCAGAACTAAACCAGAACTAAACCAGAACTAAACCAGGTCTAAACCAGGACTAAACCAGACTAAACTAAACAGAACTAAACCAGGACTAAACCAGAACTAAACCAGACTAAACCAGAACTAGAACCAGGTAAACTAAACCAGGACTAAACCAGAACTAAACCAGAACTAAACCAGGTCTAAACCAGGAACTAAACCAGGACTAAACCAGAAAACTAAACCAGGACTAAACCAGAACCAGGACTAAACCAGGACTAAACCAGGAAACCAGGACAAACCAGGACTAAACCAGAACTAAACCAGGACTAAACCAGGACTAAACCAGAACTAAACCAGAACTAAACCAGGACTAAACCAGGAACTAAACCAGAACTAAACCAGAACTAAACCAGGACTAAACCAGAACTAAACCAGGACTAAACCAGGACTAAACCAGGACTAAACCAGAACTAAACCAGGACTAAACCAGGACTAAACCAGGACTAAACCAGGACTAAACCAAAAATAAACCAGAACTAAACCAGAACTAAACCAGGACTAAACCAGGACTAAACCAGGTCTAAACCAGAACTAAACCAGGACTAAACCTAAACCAGAACTAAACCAGAACTAAACCAGGACTAAACCAGGACTAAACCAGGACTAAACCAGAACTAAACCAGGACTAAACCAAAACTAAACCAGGACTAAACCAGGACTAAACCAGAACTAAACCAGGACTAAACCAAAACTAAACCAGAACTAAACCAGGACTAAACCAGGACTAAACCAGAACTAAACCAGGACTAAACCAAAACTAAACCAGGTCTAAACCAGGACTAAACCAGGACTAAACCAGAACTAAACCAGACTAAACCAGAACTAAACCAGGACTAAACCAGAACTAAACCAGAACTAAACCAGAACTAAACCAGACTAAACCAGAACTAAACCAGGACTAAACCAGAACTAAACCAGAACTAAACCAGGACTAAACCAGAAACTAAACCAGAACTAAACCAGGACTAAACCAGAACTAAACCAGAACTAAACCAGAAACTAAACCAGGACTAAACCAGAACTAAACCAGAACTAAACCAGACTAAACCAGAACTAAACCAGGACTAAACCAAAACTAAACCAGGTCTAAACCAGGACTAAACCAGGTCTAAACCAGAACTAAACCAGGACTAAACCAGAACTAAACCAGACTAAACCAAAACTAAACCAGGTCTAAACCAGGACTAAACCAGGACTAAACCAGAACTAAACCAGGTCTAAACCAGAACTAAACCAGGACTAAACCAGGACTAAACCAGAACTAAACCAGACTAAACCAGAACTAAACCAGAAACTAAACCAGGACTAAACCAGGACTAAACCAGAACTAAACCAGGACTAAACCAGGACTAAACCAGAACTAAACCAGGACTAAACCAGAACTAAACCAGGACTAAACCAGACTAAACCAGAACTAAACCAGAACTAAACCAGGTCTAAACCAGAACTAAACCAGGACTAAACCAGGTCTAAACCAGAACTAAACCAGGACTAAACCAGGACTAAACCAGGACTAAACCAGAACTAAACCAGAACTAAACCAGGACCAACAGAACAGAGGAGCATAAATTGTCACATGTTTGGGTAAAATACAGAAATCCATGTTTGTGAATAATCATAAAGCAAAAAAAAGTCCCTCAGTTTTAGTCCTGGTTTAGTCCTGGTTTGGTCCTGGTTTAGTCCTGGTTTGGTCCTGGTTTAGTCCTGGTTTGGTCCTGGTTTAGTCCTGGTTTGGTCTTTTCACTCTTTGAGTTGGAACAGTCGTTCAAACTCGACGAGTCTCAGTTTAGAATTTAGAAAATTTGGTCCCAAATAATAAAATAATAAAATAATAAGAAAGAAGAACAAGAAAATCCAAATATAAAGAATCTGACACACAGAGAGGGACCTGACACACACAGAGAGGGACCTGACACACACAGAGAGGGACCTGACACACACAGAGAGGGACCTGACACACACAGAGAGGGACCTGACACACACAGAGAGGGACCTGACACACACAGAGAGGGACCTGACACACACAGAGAGGGACCTGACACACACAGAGAGGACCTGACACACACAGAGAGGGACCTGACACACAGAGAGGGACCTGACACACACAGAGAGGGACCTGACACACACAGAGAGGACCTGACACACAGAGAGGACCTGACACACACAGAGAGGGACCTGACACACACAGAGAGGGACCTGACACACACAGAGAGGGACCTGACACACAGAGAGGGACAGAGAGGACCTGACACACACAGAGGGACCTGACACACACAGAGGGACCTGACACACACAGAGACCTGACACACAGAGACCTGACACACAGAGAGACCTGACACACAGAGAGGGACCTGTCACACACAGAGAGGGACCTGACACACAGAGAGACCTGACACACAGAGAGGACCTGGGACCTGACACACAGAGAGAGGGACCTGACACACAGAGAGGGACCTGACACACACAGAGAGGGACCTGACACACACAGAGGGACCTGACACACACAGAGAGGGACCTGACACACAGAGGGACCTGACACACACAGAGAGGGACCTGACACACAGAGAGGGACCTGACACACACAGAGAGGGACCTGACACACACAGAGAGGACCTGACACACACAGAGAGGGACCTGACACACAGAGAGGGACCTGACACACAGAGACACACACACAGAGGACCTGACACACAGAGAGAGACCTGACACACAGAGAGGACCTGACACACACAGAGAGGGACCTGACACACACAGAGGGACCTGACACACACAGAGAGGGACCTGACACACACAGAGAGGGACCTGACACACACAGAGGGACCTGACACACAGAGAGGACCTGACACACAGAGGGACCTGACACACACACAGAGGGACCTGACACACACAGAGAGGGACCTGACACACACAGAGGGACCTGACACACAGAGAGAGAGGACCTGACACACAGAGAGGGACCTGACACACACAGAGGGACCTGACACTGACACACACAGAGGGACCTGACACACACAGAGAGGGACCTGACACACAGAGAGGGACCTGACACACACAGAGGGACCTGACACACACAGAGGGACCTGACACACACAGAGAGGGACCTGACACACACAGAGGGACCTGACACACACAGAGAGGGACCTGACACACACAGAGACCTGACACACAGAGAGGGACCTGACACACACAGAGGACCTGACACACACACAGAGAGGGACCTGACACACACAGAGAGGACCTGACACACAGAGAGGGACCTGACACACAGAGAGGGGACCTGACACACACAGAGAGGGACCTGACACACACAGAGAGGGACCTGACACACACAGAGGGACCTGACACACACAGAGAGGACCTGACACACACAGAGAGGACCTGACACACAGAGAGGACCTGACACACAGAGGACACACACACGAGAGGGACCTGACACACACATGACACACAGAGGGACCTGACACACAGAGAGGGACCTGACACACAGAGAGGGACCTGACACACAGAGAGGGACCTGACACACAGAGAGGGACCTGACACACAGAGAGGGACCTGAGAGAGGACCTGACACACAGAGGGACCTGACACACAGAGAGGGACCTGACACACAGAGGGGACCTGACACACAGGTGGAGGACCTGACACACAGGTGGAGGACCTGACACACAGGGACCTGACACACAGGTGGAGGACCTGACACACACAGAGGGACCTGACACACAGGTGGAGGACCTGACACACAGGAGCGTGTGAAAGTTTCACTTCCTTTAACCTGATTTTTCTGAATCTTTGACGTAAACAAAACCGGTTCCTGTAAAACCTGTAATTACACACACACTTTTGTTCCATTCACACGTGTGTGACCAACCCTTTATTTTTATACTCTCCTTTATATCTGTATAATACCATTATATTTATATTCTCCTTTTATTTTATACTCTCCTTTTATATTTATACTCTCCTTTTATATTTATACTCTCCTTTTATATTTATACTCTCCTTTTATATTTATACTCTCCTTTTATATTTATACTCTCCTTTTATATTTATACTCCTTTTATATTTATACTCTCCTTTTATATTTATACTCTCCTTTTATATTTATACTCTCCTTTTATATTTATACTCTCCTTTTATATTTATACTCTCCTTTTATATTTATACTCTCCTTTTATATTTATACTCTCCTTTTATATTTATACTCTCCTTTTATATTTATATTCTATATTTATATTCTCTTTTTTATATTTATACTCTCCTTTTATATTTATACTCTCCTTTTATATTTATACTTTTATACTCTCCTTTTATATTTATACTCTCCTTTTATATTTATATTCTCCTTTTATATTTATATTCTCCTTTTATATTTGTATGATCCTTTTAATTTGTATTGTTTTATTTTTAGTGTCTTTTCTTCTCCAAAGCTCCAAAAGTTAAAACAAGTTTATTTGAAAAGTTTTTTTTATTTCACTCAGAGTCAGAGTCAAATGTTTCACAGAATCAGAAATAAATAAAAATCATAAACCAAATGAAGCGAGTGAGGAGAGAGTCTGGAGGGTCTGGAGGGTCTGGAGAGGTCTGGAGGGTCTGGAGAGTCTGGAGAGTCTGGAGGGTCTGGAGAGTCTGGAGGGTCTGGAGAGTCTGGAGGGTCTGGAGGGTCTGGAGAGTCTGGAGGTCTGGAGAGTCTGGAGAGT